TGTACTGGAAAAAGACCTGGAGCGGGTGTATCATAACAATGTGACTCTGGATAAATCACTTCAAGGCTATGAAGGCTCCCACCCTAAGATGGCCTTCCCCTTCCTAATGGGCCATGCCTGAACCTCTGAGCTGGAACAGAATCCAACTTTACAAATGCTCAACCTGTTTCCCTCCACATCACCACCTCCCTGTCAAGCCTGACTTCTTTGCCACTGTTTGGAAGCTCTACTCAGAACATGATCGGGCCATAAATCGGAGAGGCCCCGCCTAGAAGCAGTCTTCTGTGGCATTTGGGAGAACCTAAGTCCTTCCATGCTGGAGATAGGCAACTTCTCTTACCAAAAGGAGAGTTGGGTCCTCCTCTCTGGGTGGACCCTGGCCCCGCTGCCCTGGTTCCAAACAAAGGCTCTGACCTCAAAGCTGCAGACCTTCTCCCCGGGGTGTTCCCATACCTGTCACAGGACTGGCAGTTTCTCCTCAGAGAACCCTATGCAGCCAGTAAGGCCTTCGCCAGCCAGAGCCTGCACCTCAAGGTTAAGGTTGGCAGCACCTCAGAATCCTGTGTTGCAGGCCAACAGGCAAGTGTTTCCTGCTGCTGCACCAAAGGTAGGGTGGACTGGGCTTGTTGGGTTGATTGGCCCCAGGTCCCACAAGTCTCCTACGAACTCACAGCCTCCCACCTGTGGTGCAGGCCAGCCTGTAGCCAAGTTTGTGACCACACAAATGGGCTTGTAGCATCACAGTCCCAGAGCAGTGGTTGGTTGAAGTTTACCTTGCCAGAGTTCAGTTTGCTGTGTATTCACAGGGTGTATCAGTTCTCATTTGAAGAAGGGAAGACATTTTATGAATGATCTATTAGCGTGTGATCACAGGAAGCAAGTCACATCAACAAAAGAATAAAGCCCACACTTACTATGGGTAAAGGCACAATGCCAAGCAACTTGCTGGTGGCTCTAATTTTCTTTGAGTTACAGTGCAGCTAGGGTAATATTTAAAGACACTGAAAGTTAGTCACTATAAATGAACAACATAAAAGACACAATTATAGAAAAACTGGCCTCAAGGTAAGCTGCTTGCCAATTGACAAGAAGAGAATGGAATAGAGAATGAATAAAAACAGGGAAAACCACTCCCACTCCCGAAGGAAGTGAGAAAGTCAAAACTGTGTTTAGGAACAAAGGAGAGACAGAAGCTTACCTGTGGTCACATAATTAGTTCAGTGAGATGTAAATGGTGAGGCTGTGATAGAAAGACTTTATTAAAATAGCTTCTTCAGTTGTTTCTCAATCAAAACATTTAGAATGTGATAGTGAATTTTTTGTGCAGTAGATAAGGGAAGATTTACCCAGTATTTTGTTCTGTTCAATACACCTTTCTGCTATGATGAAAGTGTTCTGTGTGAGCACTGTCTGCTTGCTATGAGTAACTCTGGAACATTTCAAATGTGGCTAGTGATTGAGTAAATGAATGTTTTATTACTTTAATTATAGTTACTTTTAACTGGCTTTATTCATTTTTATTTAAATTTAGGTAGCCACAATTAATAGGTGGTTGAAACTGTTCTAAGTGGGACCTGTGTGTTCTGTCCCATGATTGATATATTTAAAAGATAAATGTCCTCAAATTAAATAAAAAATATCAGGCTACTTGAGGGGATAGGAATTAAACATTCTCAAATTCAAAGACATGCAAACTCAAAAAAAAAAAGAAGAAGCTAATAACATTTCTTGAATTCCTAGCACAGGTCAAGCAATTCCAAAATTATCATCAGCCAGTAGTTTTACAGATGGGGGAAAAAAAAGTTAAGCTATTTAAAATTTTACGAATAAAACAAAATATATTACTTAAATATATTTTGCAAGACTAGCAATTTACTGCTTTCTCCTTGCACTTCAAAAATCTCATTTTAAAAAAAATATGTATTTATTTATGCATACAGAACCGGGGTACAGGCCAGAGGTGTAGGTGCGGTGAGAGGTTTCACCAGAGACAGAGTGGGGAGCAGAACAGGCAGATCAAAGAAGTACAGGACCCTGAGGGGAGCAGTAGACAAGACAGGAGGGGTCTGCTGTGCCATGTTGCTCACCTCCAGGGCTCTGTCTAGCTTGCAGTGCTTCATCCTAACCCATTGCACCACTAGGGAGGGCCCTCATCTCTCATTTTTAAAAAGAGATTCATAAGAATTTTGGGGGAAAAAGTTAAAAATTGAATTTCATGAAATAAATATGTGCTTATCATTCTGTAACAGGGTGGTCTTCAGGAAAAAGGGAAGTTCCAGCTTCCCAGCCCCACCCAGGAGGAGGGTGGAGCTGAGGAGAGTAGAGAAGGGATCAGGAGAAGAAGGAAGCTGAATAGAGTCAGACGGAGATCTGAGGAAGCCACGTGGAGCAGAACACATGTGATGAAGAAGCCGTGCTTGTTTCTTGGCCCTGTGGGTGGGTGAGAGACCCGTGGGGAGGTTGACTATGGCAGCATTTATCTTGATTTTGATTTTGCTCTCTTCCTTCCAGACTTGTCTGGTCATTTCTGACCCTTTTCTATGGGTCCCAGCCAGAGGTGCTTTAGACTGGTGGCGAGCTTTCAGGCCTTGCTTTGGGCCAATCCGTTTTGGGTAGACTTTTGCCCACAGGGGATGGCTAACTTCAGGTGTTTGATTTAGAAATTATATTCTTTGTCTTTCCTGTATTGTATACTCATTGTATTCAAGTTCCTTTCCATTAAAGCCCTTATGTTTTGTCTTGATGTGGCAGATAGCAGAACCTATTTAGAGCAGGCAGGTTTGGGAGTTCAGGGGTGCCCCTCTCTCCCTGCCCTGTAACAATTCTAATAGTGGGGCATTATAGTCTTAAAAAAAAATTAAAGTCTTTAAAAATTTTTTTTATTAAAAAAATCTTTAAAAAAATTAAAGTCTTAAAAAAATTAGTCTACAAATGCCCAATACAATATTTCTCTAATATAAAACCAATTAATAATCTTTCAAATCTCAGAATTTTCAGCTGTTTTAGTTAAGTGGGATTTATGTTCAAATCTATTTTTATATGATTTGAAACATGACAAATCTGTCATTGAGTGACAAAAATGTTCTACAATGGATTGTGATAACTATGAACATACTATAAGCAACTTCATTGAACACTTTATAAATGGGTAAATTGTATCAAAAATGAATCCTGTCTCAATAAGTCTGTTTAAAAATAGATAAGTCATAAGAAGAAAATATTTTAGTACTTTATAAGTAAATTTCTTTTCCTTGAATTTGTGATATTTCACACAACTGAATAGTAAGGAAATTTTGTCTTCGAATTTCCCGTATTTGCCCACTACAACCTTTTATCTCTTCTTTTTAAGAAAAAAAAAATTGCCTTGAATATCAACTTCAGTTATACTCAGGGTACTAATAAATAATCTTGTTTTACAAATAAAAATCACCCAGTTAGTGTAGTTTAAGAAAATGATACTTTTTCCACAAGATGGCACTGGTGTGCAAATAGTATTGCTAGAATCTGCACATTCACAAAATAAAATTATAACATTATCACATAGTTTTCTTTCATTCACCTAAACGGGTGAACGTTGAAAGATAAGACAAGATATTTTCTTAATTTGCTAAGCTTCAGTGTAAAAGAGCCCTCATTTTATAGATATGAAATGTAATACAAGAAGAAATTTTAACAATCATATGCTAAATGAGGGTGAAAATCCAAAATCCTGTCCCTTTTGTCATCAAACATATCAAGAGTGGGGAACTGGCTACTATAATGATAAGAGGGTAGAAAATTCATCTCTATTGCATTGTTACACATATACTTTCTCATTTGAACCTTAAACTGTTAGTTCCATATATATGGTCTCATTAAATCCTAGCTATACAAGTCAAAATGATGAACTTCATGAGGCAAGATGACAGATCACTTTACAATGTTTCTTGAGTCCACCGCAGAGTAAACAATCAAAAACACTACTTCAGTGAGTGAATGAATTAATTGGCTAAAATTAATAATCACCCCCATTTAGTTTGTCATCTTCTTTCTACTTCACACCTGAGGAAACCATCGTTAGAAATGTGAAATAACTTGTTCGAACGCACACAGTTCAGTGGCAAAAATAGTGAACACTATCTGACATCATTTTGTATTATACATACATAATTTACATATAAAATTTCCACACTAGGAAAAAATCTCTCTGAAGGTAGTGATCATGTCCTACCTGCTCTCAGTTATATAGCTCCTCCCTCAGAACTAGTTCATAATTGACACACAGTAAATGATATTTATCTGTTTGAGTTCAGAGCAACATTCAAGGAGCTTTGCTTACGTACCACTTAAAGGTTTATTCCTTTCACTTCCTAATATTACTGCTAAATGCAGGTCTTGCTTCTGCATTTCTGCTCATTTTCTGCTGACCAGTCCTCTAACACCCATTAACAAGAAGCTTTAGATGTTCATAAGTCTTTCCCATTTGGCCTTCATTTACCCATTTTTCCTAGTTCCACTCTAAGCAGGCCACACTTCTTGACTTTATACCTCCTGGGGTGCTCAGGGGAACTGAGCAGATCTTCAGACAGAATTGGTTCTGGTTTGGACTCTGTTACTGCTCTCTGTGTTCCTTGGGACTCAATTTTCTTGTTGCTCATCTGAGAACGCTCCCTCTCAGACCTACAGCTGTACGAGTTTAACTCTGTCCTATAGCAGTCTTCTAACGAATTCATGGCCAACATGCTACATTTGGAAGAAGAGTCCTTGGAATCTGGGAATGAAGCAAAGCTGCATAATGGAAAACATTTGCTCCAGCCAGGGATGTCCTGGCACAGGAGTCTAGGAATGGACGCCTGAAGCTCAGCTGGGAGCTTTGGAGCCCGAGACGGTTCAGGCTCCCCCGCGCCGCCAGGGGGCGCTGCAGGCAACTATCCCCGAAACAGACGACCAGGTCTCCTGGACAGCGCCGGCGCCGCTCTTTCGTCTTCCGGAAGCGGAGCGTGGAACCCGCAACGGCTGCGTGTGCGACAGCGGAGGTGGCGGGCACGGCGGAAGGAGGGACGGAAGGGGGCCCGGGCCTGGCTCCCGCGTCAGGGTGGAGCACCATGGACGAGGCTGGCAGCTGTGCGAGCGGTGGAGGCTTCCGCCCGGGCGTCGACAGCCTGGACGAGCCTCCCAACAGCCGCATCTTCCTGGTGATCAGCAAGTACACTCCGGAGTCGGTGCTTAGGGAGCGCTTCTCGCCGTTCGGGGAGATCCAGGACATCTGGGTGGTGCGGGACAAGCACACCAAGGAGTCCAAGGGCATCGCCTTCGTCAAATTTGCGCGCAGTTCGCAGGCCTGCAGGGCCATGGAGGAGATGCACGGCCAGTGCCTCAGCCCCAACGACACCAAGCCCATCAAGGTGCGAGTGCCGGGCGGGGTGCCTGCAGAAGCCGTATCTGAATGGGGTGGAGTGCTAGGGGGAGGACTCTCGGGCATCCCTTCACCCGAAACTGTGGGGCTGAGTCGGAATGTCACGTTGGCTCCGGGTGTCGGTCCAGGCGGCACCTGCATTCTTGGGACGAAAGGAGAGAGGCTGGTCTCGGAGAGAACGATTCTCAGAACCCGGCGAGGCTGCACTGGGTGCTGGGTTAAGGGTCGTGGGGTGACCCAGGGTGAACCCCGACTTTGGCCGCGGAGCTTGATGTGGCGGGGCTTCCCCGCCCTCCTGCCTCCACCCATCGGGAACTCTATTGCCAGGCCCAACTCTGGCCTTGGCCTGCTTTGTTGACTACTCATCAAAGGTTACCGTTAGGCAAACAGATAGCTCTGCTTTTCCTCAGATGAGTATGGGGCTTAACAGCTGGATAAAATAAATACATGCAGTCGTGGCTCCCTGGTTTCCCCCGGTATTTTAGACAAAAGTTTGCTTGTATATACTGTTAAGTGCAGGTGACTGAAATTGCTATTATAACTGATCTCCTACTCTTCTGTCATCAAATCATTTTATAGAAGCCTGAGTTGGAGGGCATTGTAGCATAGGTTACGTTACTGCCGCTTTTCTTTGAAAGCACACCAAAGTTAAAATGCCTGAAGAGCCAGATCGTTGTGATGGAAGTGTAATTGCATTCTTATCAATGCTCCTTTGTGTACACTTTAGTTTACTTGGGTGGTATTTGTGTTAAGTTTCTACACTTGTGTGTAAAATTAAAATAGCTGACACAAAAAAGGGTCATTTTGAAGGTTATGTAAAGTCTATGCTTCTAACACAGCGTGTGGCACACCTAAGCCCTCTATATATACTTCTTTGTCCGGCGTAGCCAAGATGTCGTTTGTTCCTTGTTACAAATTAAAACAGACTTATAGGACCCTCAGAACCTTACTCCTGAGACTGAGTTTCTGCAGTTACTTAAGCTGTTCTGTCACTTGTCCTGTAAAAACAGTTGCTGTATATGTAAGTGTGTTGGGGCTCTTTACAAAGTGTTCTTTTTCCCTCAATTGTTTTTCATTTAGTACAGAAAGCTGAGAAGAATATTAATCATATGAAGTTACATAAATGAAAGTCTCAGATATATCAGTCTCTGGAGATCTCTGTTCCTGATTCCATAAAAGAGCCAGGGACTATACCAACAACACAGTAAACAGTAGATATTCCCTTCCCTCCCAGTTCTTTGTAATGAGGAGAACAGATCATCAGCATAATGAATTGTAAGAGCACAGCATAACCTAAACCAGGGATTTGCAAACATTTTCTGCAAAGGGCCTCTTAGCAAATCTTTTAGGCTTTGTGAGCCACTTGTAGTCTCTGGCACATACTCTTTGTTTTATGTTTAGTAATGTACAAATTTTTCTATCATGACCTATGGAAAAACAAGATACAGTTTCCCAAATCTTGCATTAGATTGGTAATTTTCCTCTGTTTACAATTATAATTTTAGTGGATAGATCTTCATAGATGTTTTACATTACAACTGAGATTCTAAGCACTCCTCCCCAAGATGCCCCAAATTTGAAATTTGAACACCCCCTTTCCTTGATTAAGTTTCTACAAAAGAAGTAAAAGTTCCATAATTATAATGTGTCCTCCCTGTTAGCCACTGAGAAATTAAATTATTCCCAAAGATAATTGAAGTTTATAAGTCTGGGTTTTTGTTTTTGTTTTTAAGGTTTATTTATTTATGCACACAGAACTGGGGCACAGGCCAGAGGTGCAGGAGTGGTGAGAGGATTCACCAGAGACAGAGTAGGGAGCAGAGTAGAGAGACAGAGGAAGTACACTTTTGAGGGGAGCAGCGGACGAGACTGGAAAGGTCTACTACACCATGTAGGTCACCTCTGAACCAGGGATTGAACTTGAATTGAAGCTGCTGCAGCTAGTTTGCAGTGCAGCATCCTAACCTGTTGTACCACCAGGGAGGGTCCTATAAGTCTGTTTTAGAGTTTTTTGGTCTACTCAGTTTCATTCAAATGGTTGTTTCACTCTAATACTTAGCTAGACAATGTCAGTTCAGCAGCTACAGCTTGGTCTGTTTTCCACTGAAATGCAGGTTTGGGGTTTTTGTTCTTGTTTTGTTTTTAGTATTTCCAGTTTAGTTCATTCATGTTTGATTTTTCTCATGTTTTTAGTAAGAAAAATAAGAAAATTATAGCACCAGACCTACCTCCAGAATTGATTATCAAAGTAAAACTGGAATGATCAGCTATATTATCTTGGTTTTAAGCTTTGTAAGGCTGCCTCTTATGTAGAGTCTATAGTCTTTGACCATACAATTTTGAGAAATTGTTCATTAAGTGGGAGTTATTATTGTGTTATGCTATCTCCTTTTCAGAAATTCAAAACAGTCTTCTAAAATTTCAGAATTTTGTGACTTTACTTGTGCCTTTTTTTTTACTTGTGCCTTTCCTTCCCCCCCCAGTATCTTTCCATATACTTAAGACTCTAATTATATTTCTCTGTTGAACATTTATTACTTATATATACATTAAACTAGCCTTCTAACGGACTATTTTGTGTTAGTATTCCATTAATAAAACCTCATATAGTGCTTGACATAGTTGAAATTGGAAGTGGACTCTATGTAAGGATGTGTCTCCAGCTGTGACTTATAATCAGGGACCTATACTTCTGTGACAGCTGTTTTCCAAGCAAACACAATGGCCTTTTTCAATACTTCTAAAATTCTTTCAAAGTTCAGCGTCTGTTTAGTTGTTGTCCTTCCTTATTTCTTCCATAGGAATATATAAACAGTTCCATATCCTAGACATAACTCTTTTTTTTTTTAACAAATAAAACATTATTACAAAGCAAATTCCAACTAGTAACTTAGTGTCACAGATGGTTTTGCAATATATTGAAATTGCCATTTCTAGTATAAAATACAGCCTCAGGTCATTTTATTCATATAAATCAGTTGGTTGGTCATTGAAGTGATCAAGATTATGGTTATATTGCCCATTAGAAAGATTAATAGCAGAATGAAAACAATTTTCAATGTCACCATCTGAACATTTGGAAACCACACTATGGAACTGTGAAAGTCATTGCAATATAATCGCATTAAAATTTTCTTTTGATAAGACTCTACTGCATCTCATACCGATGATGAAGTAAGTGCACTTAAAGAATAGAAAAGCAGTTGACTAATTTTTGTTTTTTTCAGGTTTTTATTGCACAGTCCAGATCATCTGGAAGTCACCGAGATGTTGAAGATGAAGAACTCACAAGAATCTTTGTTATGATACCAAAGTCCTACACAGAAGAAGATTTACGGGAAAAATTTAAGGTGCTTATGCTTTCTAGCCAGCTAGCATCTTTGGTAACTCATAATCCTAAATTGTTTGGATTGATTACTAAATCTGAAGTGTTGTTTGAGTTACGTCATTACATAGGTAGTAGGGAATTGAATAGCTATTTTTAAGTCATCTATTTCTTTCTAGTTATAATAAACCTATAATAAACTATTTTTAAAGTTAAATAATATGTAAAAACTGGAAAGTGTAATGATGGTGTTTTTTCCCCCAGACTTTATAGTGAAAATACAGATTTAGAATTAGAAATGTGTAGTATAAAGCCCATAATAAGGTCACATACCTAGTGGGAAGTGGGAGAGCTAAGATTTAAACAAAGCCTATTTTTGGTCTGTACCATTTAAAATATACTCTTACCACTTCTATTACCTCTTTTTTTTTTTTTTTTTTTAAGATTGATTTATTTATGCATGTAAGAACTGGGTTATAGGCCAGAGGTGCAATTGGTGAAAGGATTCACCAAAGACAGTGGGAAGCAGAACAGGCAGATCTACTGAAATAACACTGCTGAGGGGAGCAGTGGGTGAGACAGGAGAGGTCTTCTGCACCATGTGGGTTAGCTCCCTGGTTGGGGATCAAACTCGTGCTGCAGTGGCTGGTGATAGCTTGATAGCATAGTCTTTAACCCCTGCGCCATCTGGGAGGCCCTCTCTTGCCTCTTATTAGAAGTGACTCAGGCAACACTGAATGTGTGAACTGTATCATCTAATGCTTATTATAGGCCTGTGGTATATTAATGTACTTTTTCACCAAAAAAAAAAAGCCTATTTTTATAGTTTTCAATTCTAATATTAGACCTTGGGAGGGCGTATTAAAATTAACGGTAGCGCTGAACTATAGCAAGACTGTTATAAATGAAATTTAAGGTACTTTTGAATCTTTTTTGGCTGTGGGCTTCTTAGGCAGCGGTAGTACTTTCATGAAAATGATTAGAAAGCAATTTGTAAGTTATCTGTAGTTAAAATACTTTATCCTATTCTGCTACTCCTTTTCTTAGTAGTATGAGTCAGGTAGGCAGTAAACAAGAAAGAAAAATGAGTAGTAAAAGGTAATTTTCAAACTTCCTTTGTTCTACCTCTATTGAGAGTTGAATGAAATACTTTTAAATATGACAATACAGAAATATAGATCCATGTTTATTCCAATACTAAAAAAAAATGTTTCTTACCTTATAAATGTCATTTTCTAAGTAAACAATTAGGGTACTTTTATCTAAATGCCCAGGAATTCAGTTGTAGTTGATTATGTGAGAATTTTATTAAAATAAATAATAAATTCTAAAATTTTATGACCCATATTTTTTCCAACATTAAAAGTAAACATTTATGGCCCTCCCTGGTGG